CGACTGAAGGACAAACCAGAAGTTCGACAAATTGTAGAAGATCAGTGGTTGATGTGCCCCATGGATACGATTGTATCTAAAATTGGGCGTATAAGGATTAATATCATTCAATGGGTGAGGAATCAGAACCTTAATAGCAATCTGTTGATCAGGAAGCTGCAAGAGGATCTTGAGTTAGCACTGTCAAGTTTAGTGCCTGAGCCCAACAGTATTGCTAAGCTTACTTTAGCCCTGGAAAATGCGTACAAGGAGGAAGAACTGTTCTGGCGTCAACGTAGCCGCATTCAATGGCTCCACACTGGGGATCGTAATACTGGTTTTTTCCATGCGTCAACAAGAGGGAGAAGAGCTTTAAATAAGTTTTCGGTAATTGAGGATGGAGCTGGTAAAGCAGTTTTTAAAGAGGAAGAAATAGTTCAGGCTATTTCGGGGTATTTTGCAAATATTTTTACCTCACATCGAGCAGCCTCATCATTGGTGGTCCAGGAAAGTATCTCACCTAAAGTTACCGCAGAAATGAATCTTTCTTTGATCCTCCCCCCCTCGCCTCTGGAAATCAGGGAAGCATTGTTCTCGATCAATCCGGATAAAGCCCCCGGCCCGGATGGTTTCTCGGCTAGCTTTTACCAATCCTTTTGGGATATCATTGGTGATGATGTCACAAAAGATATTCACGAGTTCTTTGCTTCGGGTTCTTTGGACCCTAAACAGAACGAGACTCATGTTAGACTTATACCTAAAGTGTCGGGTCCTAAGAAGGTAGCTGATTATTGGCCGATTGCTTTGTGTAACACGCACTACAAGATCATCGCGAAGTTGTTAACAAGACGCCTACAACCCTTCCTACCGTGTTTGATCTCTGACCACCAGTCAGCTTTCATCAAAGGCCGGTCTATTGCGGATAACGTGTTAATCACACATGAGATTCTTCACCACCTTCAGCACTCGGGAGCATCGGTCCGTTGTAGTATGGCGATAAAAACGGACATGAGCAAAGCTTATGACCGCAATGAATGGAACTTTCTGCGGGATGTACTTATACAATTTGGCTTTCATGAGGTGTGGATCACCTGGATTATGGCATGTGTCTCGTCTGTCTCGTATTCGTACCTAATTAATGGAGCGGCCCAAGGACGAGTTATCCCGTCAAGGGGAATTCGGCAAGGTGACCCCCTTTCTCCGTACCTCTTCATTCTTTGCTCGGAGGTTCTCTCCGGTCTTTGCAATAATGCGCTTCTGAAAGGACAAGTGATTGGGGTTAAGGTTGCCCGCAACAGTCCCGCCATCAATCATCTTCTCTTTGCGAATGACACCATGTTCTTTAGTAGAACGGATAATAGGAGCTGTCAAGCACTTATTTCGATTCTCAGGAAGTATGAGGATGCATCAGGGCAATTCATAAATTTTGATAAATCCTCCATCACCTTTGGAGCTAAGACACCCGGGGAAGTTAGAAGACGCATCAGAGAACAGTTCCGCATTGCAAATGAGGGAGGAATGGGCAAATATCTCGGTCTACCGGAGCATTTCGGAAGAAAGAAACGTGACATCTTTGCAGCTTTGGTGGATAAGGTAAAGCAAAAAGCGCATAGTTGGACAACCAGATTCCTGTCGGGTGCTGGTAAATTGGTCCTCCTGAAGTCGGTACTTGCTGTTATGCCCACTTATTCCATGTCATGCTTCAAGCTACCCCTGTCCCTTATTAAACAACTCCAATCTGTCCTCACAAGATTCTGGTGGGACCTTTCCCCAGAGGTTAAAAAGATGTGTTGGGTAGCTTGGAGTACTCTCGCTAAACCAAAAAATGCAGGGGGCTCGGGTTTAGGGAATTAGCTCAGTTTAATGATGCAATGCTTGCGAAAATATCCTGGAGACTCCTTAAGAATCCGAGTTCTCTGCTTGGTCGTATTTTGTTGGGCAAGTACTGTCTCCACAACTCCTTCCTCAGAACTAGTATTACAAATGGAAGCTCTCATGGCTGGAGAGGGATTCTTTTGGGATGGGATCTTCTTACTAAAGGACTGGGATGGGCGATGGGTTCAGGACACGGTGTTAGTATCTGAACTATGGTTGTCCACCTCAACCCCGGTGATCCCCTTTGGTCCCCCTACTTTCGAGAAGCAAGATTGGTGTGTTAGTAACTTAATTAACCACAGTACAAAGGACTGGGATATTGTGAGTATAAGAGAAACTTTACCTCAGTATGAGGAGATGATTCTCAGATTGATCCCGAGTTCCTTCCCACTTGTTGATGAATTAGTTTGGCTCCCTAATGCAATTCTGGTGTCTACTCAACGAAGTCGGGATATGCTATAGCCAAGCTCTGTAATGGGACAGAGAATGACCTTGGTTTTGACTGGAAAAAGTGTGTTTGGCAGGTGGAAACATCTCCGAAAATCAGACACTTCCTCTGGAAGACAAACAGTAAGGCACTGCCGGTTGGATCCCTTTTGGAAAGTAGAGGTCTAAACGCCATCCCTTCGTGTCATCGCTGTGGAACGAGGGAAACTGAGCTTCATGTTCTGCTGCAATGTCCATATGCAAGGAAAGTCTGGGATTTGGTCCCATGTCTTTTTAAACCTTCTCAAGATATAACTTTCAATTCCTCAGCTCCTTCGAGTAGCACATAAAATGGTGTCCCTCCCTCCGACAGGTCTGGGAGCCACGCCTCTCTATCCCTGGGTGTTTTGGGTCCTTTGGACTAACATGAATAAATTTCTGTTTGAAAATGTTTGTTTTTCTGAAGAGAATTCTGTCTTGAAGGCAATTCAAGATGCTAGAGCATGGAAGGCTACTCAAACATATGTTGAAAAGCCCTCTTTACCACGTTCTGTGGTTAACATCACTTCGGTACCATCTGATAATTCTTATTTGTGGTCATCCTTCTCAGATGCAGCTTGGGATCCCACTACAGGTAACTGCGGTATTGGCTGGCAACTTCGAGACTCCATGGATGGTTGCACAGATCACGGTTCTTCTCACTGGCATTTTGTTCCCTCGGCTCTTGTGGCGGAGGCATTGGCGGTTAAGGCTGCATTGAACGCAGCTCTCTCTCATCAAGTCTGTAGGCTCCGTGTCTACTCTCCAAGACTCTCATCACACTCTTGAACTCTCAAGGTTCTGATGTTAGCTTGAAAGGTGTTCTACACGATATTAATGTCCTGTCTCACTCTTTCAATTCTATCTCCTTTTGTTTTGTTCAGCGTTTAGCAAACACTGTGGCTGATTCCTTTGCGAAAACAGCTTTGTCTTGTATTCCCCCCCCTCTGTTTTCACAGAGTAACTCTGCAGTTTTCTTTTAATTGAAGTACTTTTCGTCCAAAAAAAAAAGTCTATATAAAAATGAGCTTGATTATCTTTTTTTTTTTAAACAAAGCAGTTATATACTTCTATTATTGACATATAAAATTAAACCTTATATTTAATAACATAAACTAAACTAGAGTTTCACCCGCACATCTGTGAGGGTATATTTTTCATTTTATAAATATATAACTAAATTTTTTAAATATATGATTTATATTATAGTTTTAATCTTCTCTATTAAAAGAGAAGTAACAAATTTATCTAATATTTAAAAATAATATTAGACCAAGTCATTAATTATTTAATATGACATATTTGATTGTTACATTAACCAATCAATCAAATATATATGTTTAAAAATATTTTAATAATTAATAAGAATAATAATAAATCAATTTAAATATAACAAAATCTGTTGAAAAAATCTAACAAGATCTTACCAAAAAAAAACTAAATATTTTTTATATAAAATAAGTATTTCTGTATTTCGTTATTAGATATAATTATAAATCAATTTTAATTAAAACTAAAATATAAATCATATATTTAAAAATTAATTATATATTTATAAAAGGAAAAATATACCCGCACGGATGTACGGGTGAAACTCTAGTTATAATTGTATCTAATGACGAAACAAAGAAATATTTATTTAAAAAAAAAATTAAATTTTTTGATAAGATCTTATTAGATTTTTTCAACAGATTTTTTATATTTAAATTTATTTATTGTTAATATCCTTATTAATTATTAAGATATTTTGAAAATAATATATTTGTCTGGTAATGTAACAATCAAATATGTCAAATTAAATAATTAATTACATGGTCCAACATGACTTCTAAAAATTAGATAAATTTGGTACTTCTCTTTTAATAGAGAAGATGCATTTTCAAAATTGCACGTGTAAACTGATCATTCATATTGACAGCATATTTTCAACAGTGTGATACGAAATTCTGAAATAACAAATCTTAGATTTTAGATATCAAAGATTAAATATTAGCTAAATTAATATCACAAATTCAATACAAAATAATACATAAGATTAATATAGTTACATAATTAATTAGATACTTAAAAGGTTTATTTTAGAATAAATGAAATATACATTTATATTTCAAATAACTACGAAATCAATTAAACATTTAAAAGGTTTGTTTAAGTGATAAACGAAACATGCATTTTAATTTCTTTTTAAAAATACAAAGTATTTACATATTTTAAAAATGTTAATATATATTTATATAGTAAATTAAAAAGATATGAAAAGATTTTTTTTAGATGTAATTGAGAAAAAAATATAGAAATATCTATTTGAGTTTTATTAGAATAATTAAAAAATTCATATATGTATACAAAAATTCATTTAAATAAATTTTTAAGATAGGGTCCAAATAAGAAAAATAACATATAAAATAAGTCATAACTTATCTTTTAATATAGTAGATTAGATGAGGTAATATTCTGTTAGTTTATAGATTTAGATCGGATTTATAAATATATATTCTTTTAGTTTCTGTTAGATTGAATTTAAAAGTATATTCTTTTATTCGATTGAATGTAAGAGTATAATCTTTTAGTTAAGACTTTATATATACAGATTCTCTTTAACATTTGATTACTTTAGATATGGAAAATCCTAAAGTTCTTCCCAGTGATCTTATTTACCACTCTCTACATCCCTTTCTCCGATGGATATTGAGATCGTTGCTTCTGCTGGAAGCAAAAGGTTAAGCGAACCTTTCTTCTTGAAAAAGGTATTACTCGAGAAATCTGGAGATGCAAGTGACTTAACTACCATTGCTACTTCAGTTCACGCCGTAATGTTAGAATCTGGATTCATGTTGTTAAAAAATCGTGGCTGCTTTGATAAGTTTACCTTTTCTAAAGAGCTGTTTACTGTTTCTCTAATGTATACTCTCCCTGAGCTAATCACCAAGACGACGGTTGAGTATGTGACTATTAGGTTTCAGAGCTTGAGCAATACGGTTGTGGTCTACGGATCGCTAGGAGGTGGGCGTATGGTGCAGAGGGTTAGTCTTAATAAGTATAGGTTTGTGTCTGTTATTGATTTGGTTGTGGATACTTTGAAGTTTGAGAAACAAGCCTTTTGCAGCAGCTACCGCAACGTGTTCATGTTGTGGAAGATTGTGAAAGATGGGATTTCTATCCCTTTGTCGATGGCTCTTTGTGAGAAGTATGGTTTGGTAGGTCCAGCTTGCTTGATGCGTCTACCGACAGAGCTGAAGCTGAAGATACTTGAGGTTGTTCCTGGCGACGGTGTTGCTAAAATGGCTTGCGTTTGTAGGGAGATGCGGTCTCTGGCTTCAGACAATGACTTGTGGAAACAGAAGTGCTTGGAAGAAGCCAAGCATCTTGTTGTTAATCGATCCAGTATTTCTTGGAAGGCAGAGTTTGCTACTTTTTGGAAGCAACGCCAAAAAGCTAGAAGAGCGTTAAGAAGTGATATGGAGATAGATCGCAGCATGACTAGTCCTGGGATCAGTGCACACCTTCGCAAGGCTTACCGAATGAGTCGTCTTCGTGAAGTCCTTAGAAAACGACAACGCTGATGTCCCCTTTCCTTTCTGGATCTTTGGTGGTTTTCCTCGTTAGCTAATAAATCCCTTGGAAATTTTTCTATTCTTTAATTAGGTGTTTTGTTTAAGATTAGTTTTCTCTTTGTCCTTTGGTCTGCTTATGCTATTTTGTCTGTCTTTTATATATATCTTTAATAAATAAAGCTTTTGACCAACTTATAACTAACATATCGCATCGTATGTTTGGCTAACCTGAAAACGTAAAGTTCTTGCTTTATAGATTCTTTCCGTATATAAAAAATCGTAGTACACAGTGTGAGCTCATTTCAAAGTAGCTCTCACTTCTGGACGCAAATTATTAACCTATTAAGGGGTATTAACTAAGTTGGAGTTGCAAAGGATTAAGTCTAAAAGACGAAAGGTGCTAATCTTCCAGGTTAAACTTGTTTTTATTGATTTCGGATTAAAATACAAAGTTTGATATATGGATTACAAAAGTAGATTTAAAATCTTTAAAACAATTGATATAGAAAAAAGGTTTGAGAGATTGAAAGAGAATCGCTTGTGACCCTCTTCATTGAAATTGTGTTCATAGTAGAAGATGCATGAATCATGATTAGTGTCTTGAACATGTATATTCCTGAGTGGTACCAACATTTTGAATGGTGGTTGATAGCTAGATATGCTGCCATCACGATTCTTGATAGGCAATTTCTTCTTATTTAATCAGATATTAGATTTTGTTTTTAAAGATATATTGCTATTTATTTTTTTATACCAGTATTATATCATATATGTGTCATCATATAATTAATAGTATTTTATACGTACCATAATATAAATTATTGTTGGGTTTGCGGGTTGACCTGCTCCACTGTGAATCATTTTTTATTCAAAAATTTGACACGCAAGTGAGAAACGTTATACCTGAACCCATCCTATTTAAATTAGTGGGTAAAAATTTAATATTTTTATCACATATATATTTCACTAAATGTATTCCAAATCATTGAAACTTTACTTGATATATATATATAATTGGTTATGTTTATTTTAAAAGATTACTTGATATATATATATATATATATATATGAAAATAAAAGTGCGGATATTATTTTACTTGATATATATATATATATATATATATATATATATATTTCAAAGTGCAGATATTATTTTCATATGAAAATCAAAATAGTATAACTGGTTATGTTTATTTTAAAAGATTTAAAACAGAAATTAGATATAATTAATATTTTTGATTTGTTTCACGATGATTAATGTTTATGTTAATATGTTATAATAAAAATGATCAAATATTTTTTTTTCAATCAATTTTTTATTTGATAAATTTACGCCTCATAGAATAACCCACAAAATTTTTAATTGTAAAAACATCAAGCATAAGTTGTAATAATATAACCAAATATTATATATATATATTAATTAACTTTTAGTATTTTACTTTTAAGTAAATATTTTTTTTGTATCTAATTAAATTCATTTTGATTCTTATTTATATTTTTTTCTGAAGTAAACATAAGAATTATTTTTAAAAATTGAAATTGTTTTTATAATTAATAACAAATCAAAAGTTTTAACTATAACCGAGATTTTTTGTTTTAAAAAAAACATATACTGGGGATATTCTAAAGAATAAGAAGGTATATATCTAAATTAAATGGTATTTAATAGTTATATGCGGATATATAACTAACTTCCTAAACATGAAATATAATTATCTTCTTATTAATTATAAGATATCAAAATATCAGTAACTTTATAAAGAATAGATACCCGTGAAATATCATATAATATCATAATTAAAATAATTAGACATATAATATTATATTAATAATGTAAGGTCTAACTTAAATTCTTCCCTAGAAGATTTCACCGTAAAAATTAAATATTAAATACATGAAATTCTGAGAGAAGATATCTCGTTACTTGATTTTGCAACAACTTTCTGAATGACATTTTCTATAACAAATATTTAAATGTAAAATATATATTTGATAAAAATAGAAATATTTAACAAATAAAGATTGCTTCTTGTTTATTGTTTATTTTTTGTTTACGTCATACTATTATTAAATTGAAAATAGAAGTCAAGAAAACTTACCAATACAATCCAGTGTTTGAAGGTTGATATCAAATATTTTGGATTCTTTTAACGACTATTTTTCCATAGCTATTCCAATGAAATAAATCCGTGACATTAAAATGATCATGATTAGATCTAACTTAGAAAATAAATATAAAATGTGAAGATAATGAATTTACTTGAGATTTATAGAAAATACAAATATTTAGTTCGTCCAAAAAAAAAGACAAATGTTTAGCTCACAGGAAAAATCTAAAGAAAACGAAGATGATCAAATTGCTTCAAAAAAGGAATCATTATGATAGTTCATCTGCACATAAACCAAAACCAGAATTAGTAAAAAATAAATAAAAAAATTAAAAAAAAAAAAATATATATATATATATATATAAAGTTAACATTCTAAAATAAGATAAATTTACTAAATCGAAAACATAAAAAAATAACATCATAAAAGTTCAGTGCAGATTTTTTGAGTAAAGAAACAGTGTTATTTGTAGTCATAACGAAAGAGATTTGAGTTTTTGTTGATGGTCGATTATATGAGTCTTGTCTTGGATATTTATAGATGGATAGAGATTTGTAGGGTTACTAAATCGAAAACATAAAAAAATTTATAGATGGATTTATAGATGGAGAGAGATTTACTAAATCGAAAACATAAAAAAATAACATCATAAAAGTTCAGTGCAGATTTTTTGAGTAAAGAAACAGTGTTATTTGTAGTCATAACGAAAGAGATTTGAGTTTTTGTTGATGGTCGATTATATGAGTCTTGTCTTGGATATTTATAGATGGATAGAGATTTGTAGGATTTTCTATATAGTATATTACGTGGGATCCATCTAATTAATATCTACATATATTTAATATAGGATATTACTAATCGGTTTTAATGGTTACCTATATTGTAGGTAAGTATATATTGAAAAGAAATCGGCGGATCAAATCTTTTAAATAGAATATATCTAAAATTTAGTTGTTATGGAATATATAGATATTTTACATGATTCTGTTTCAGAATATCTAGAAAACCATAATAGAAACTTACAGTAGTAATAAATATGTGATCTTGATGTCCAACTTTTGAAATATAGGCGTAGAAAATACCTTTATTAGATATCCTACTAACAATAATATCATATCATAATTAAACTATAGATTAATAATATGCGGTCCAACTTAAAAACCCACCTAGAAAATGTTGTAATGTTTATGTTTAAAGAAGATATATACATTGTATATTATTTTGTAGATATAAACATATGCTATTTGGTTGCTCTTTTATATCTATCTTATTAAATCAGAAACATTAGGTTAGAGCATCCACAATGGTGGATTCCATTGTGGAGTCCTTAGACAATATAATAGTTTTTTTTTTATTAAATAGCTAAGGATTCTAAGCAAAAAAATTAGTCCAATGGTGGATTCCATTTAGGAGTCCTTAGGATTTTTTTTTAATTATTAAACATGTTAGTCAATAATACAATTGCCAAAAATAAAAACCAAATATCATAACACATACTTGTTACCAATGAAGCTCTCTCCATTTCCTTTTCTTGTAAAGACAAACTTTCCCCTCAGTGATCTTACAACGCACATGAGTTTTTTACCATTGTAGATTCTCACCGAGGAATCAACATACTTTGGCAGAATTGTCGATCTCCTTGACCACCATATCTTCTTGTTCAAAGCTGCGTTTTTCTTCTTCATCAAGAAAGCATCAACGAACGGATCTTTCCATACAGATCGGCTCACTACCTTACTGTCTTTCTTCTCATCTTCTATAGCTCTCTGCAAAAGCAAAGACACACGACAAGGCTTTTGTTAAAAATGCACAAGACTGAAAAATGATTAACTATACTAAGCAAAATAGTTCAGTCCAAGAAAGTAAAACACAGATACCATGTTGCAAATGTTCATCAAACATCAATCATTCAATGCCTANATCGGCTCACTACCTTACTGTCTTTCTTCTCATCTTCTATAGCTCTCTGCAAAAGCAAAGACACACGACAAGGCTTTTGTTAAAAATGCACAAGACTGAAAAATGATTAACTATACTAAGCAAAATAGTTCAGTCCAAGAAAGTAAAACACAGATACCATGTTGCAAATGTTCATCAAACATCAATCATTCAATGCCTAAGAGTACTGACGACTTAAAACCCAATCACACATACTTGAGAGGTTTAAAAAATAAACACACACGTTACTATAGAAGAGTTAAAAAAGAGTAGCAAGATCCAGATTCTTACCCTCTGTAACACCGTTGAAGGTAGAGAAAGCATCCTTCAAGGACTGTTCATCAGTTCCAGGTGATAGACCTAAGAACAGTTAGAACATTAAAACAGTTACATAAAACATCAAAGCTAATACACAAAATAAGAAAGATTCAAATGAACGTTAGACTTTACCACCAATGAAAATTTTTGTGGACATGAAGCAGAGCATTGATATCATTGGAACATTTTTTTCTGTAAAGCTCCGAGTTTGGTGCAGAAAGACATTCTTTAGATGTCTGAAAATGATACACTCTATTAGAACATGTTAACTACACCCTAAATCAAAAAAGGAAGAAGGGATCGCAAACACGAATCCCCGGACATTTGATTCCGACATTGAAATCTAAAGTTCTAATAAGACAACATATGAGTTACTTGCCCAGAAAACGACGGTAACATATAGAGAGAAGAATGAAGCAAAACCTGGAGAAGTATAGCTGAGGACGTTCTTGTCGTCGTTGATTTTGCAGATGGTTAGACCGTAGATGCAGAGGAACAAGAACAAAACTCGTCACTAACCATAAAGTACTAACCAAATCAAACTCGAATCGATTGAAAGACCCAAATCGAAAAAACCCCAAATCAAAAAAATCCCCAAATCGTTTTGAATACACATCCCCGAACCCTAAATCCCGAGAAAAACATCATGCAAGATCCCTAAATTGAAATTCTAGTCGATTACATCCATAAATCAACAACGAAAGACAAGGATTTACTCTGATAATCCAACTCTCGAAATCGCTTCTCACTTCACCCACAGTTTTTTTTTTCCAGATGGTGTCGAAATGAATTTTTTTTTTTTAAATTATATACTTACTTCACAGCAGCTGCCACGTCAGTAAGGATTTGGTCCTTCTGCCTCTTACTTAGAGCAAGATTATTGGCGTATCTTAACTGCGTCCTTAAGATAATTGTTATTAAAAATAAATGAAAATTACCTATTTATTGGAAAAACGTCTCTTAATTAAGAGACATTTATGAAACGTCCTTACAGGAATCTTTTCTCTCTCACTTGATATCTTCTTCCCCGTCCATGGACAATTCCCTCCTCCTGATGATCAAAGTGTAATCCCCAATTTCTCTTCTCCAATCCTCTATTTATTTTGGAGATTACATCTCTTTTTTTTTGGGACAACGACAGGGACAATATGATGCGTTTGATTGATAGGTTTGCAGTAAGCTTCGTCGAAACTTTGGAGCTCCAGATTAGTAAACTCTATCATCAGCAATGAAAAGCTAAATCCTTCTTCTTGGTACTTTGATTGTTAAGATTACTTGTGGGGTCAAACCCAAGTGCTTTTGCTTTGTTATATGATTCTTAAGTCCAGATCTTGCGCTTGATCATGAAAGTAAAGCTACAAACTTTTTTTCTGGATTGTGTTTTGGTATCTGTTTTTGCTTGGTCTCTGGATGACTTATCAAATAAGAGATCTAGTCATTAAGAGATGTTCACAAGAGTTGTTCTTATGCGTGGTGAGATGATCTTAGGAGTAGTTTTTTTAATGAGATATGACTTTGCTTTAATGGAGACAATCTTGTTTCTGTTTCTGTTGAGATCTTGCCAAGGTTGAAATATGTTTCCATCTCCGAGAAGCATGAGCTGTTTCTCAAGAAGCTTAGGTTATGTTGCGTAGTGTTTGACTTCGTCGCTGAGCCTCAGCTAAAGGAGAAAGAGATCAAAAGGCAAACACTTCTTGAAGTTGTGGACTACGTCATCTCTTCAGAATCAGTTATTCAAGAAGCTACAAAGATAGTTTCAACTAATCTCTTTAGTAACCAACAATGGACGAACAACAAAACTCCAAAAGCAGGAGACTTGGAAAAAGCAGAAGAAGGTTCTTTAAACCCTTCTTGGCCTCACTTGCAGATTGGTAAACTATATCATCAGCTAATAAACCTTATCATCAGCTATAAGACCATATCAGAGCACATGAGGTAAACTCTATCATCAGCTAATAATCATCTTTCCTCTGTATTTATTGCTTACTACAGGATCAAACGAACATCGTGGCTTTGTTTTTGTTAAATTGTAAGCTATGTCTATTGGTTTTCGGTTGTTGGTTCCATGGTTGTAGCAATTTGTAACACCATTTGATTCAACATTCTGTTTGATCTTTTTCATTCTTGTCTGAGTTTTGCTGTCTCTTACAGTTCATCTTTTATGTCTCAGAATGCTGTTAATAACCCGGAAACACATGGCCAGCAACTCCATTGTGCATTTCAAGAGTTTGATCCAAGCATAAATATTGCTCCTGATTTCCATGGCCAAAAACTCAGCCACTTGGATATAACTTCTCAGCTGGATTACCATCTCTCAGAAGTGCGCCAGGAATTCAACAACATCCCTTCCGTTAAGCTTGATGTTTCCGACGAGTCTGAATTCACTACTCCATCAAGTGTCCGTGTGCCTCCTTCTGCCTTTTTGGGACCAAAGTGTGCACTATGAATTGCACAAGGTACTTTTGCTTAGTCTTTTTTCACATTATTGTTAGTGTATGAGACTTGACAATCAGTAGTAAGGATCATGTTTGCAATCTCTTTTAGCTTTTTATTGCAGTTTAGAGTTGTGATCATATTTAATCAATCTCCTTTAACCTTTTTTTGGGTTTGTGAAAATGCTAAGAGACATCATATGTCCTACCAATAATCTATGTTTTTATGGTTGTCCTTAACCAATGTCCTTAACATAAAAGTAATATTAAAAAAATCTAAGGACTTATTTTGAGTCTTACCAATAATGATGCTCAAGAGATCAATCCTTGATCAACTGCTATTACTTTATATTTTTTAATTCAAAAAGCAGTAAGGATTTAGACTTAAGGACTTGAATTATTGACCGTTGCAGATGGTCTTAGATCTAACATTTATTTTGTAAGTTTTTAAATTGAATATATCTTTCTACTTTATAGTTAAACCAACATTAAATCACTAATATTCCTCTCTTTATAGTACTATCCATGTTTCCAAAAAATATATTTATATCTTTATACTACTATTCATATTTCCAAACAATATACTCATTATTTATACTATTATCCATGTTTCCAAACAGTATTATAATTAATCGTATGTCCACACAATACAAAATATAAGATCTCACCTTTTTTAATAATTTCTCACAATTTTATTTCAAATTATTTATATGAATTAAAAATTTCAAATAATATATAAAACAATGAAAATAAACTTTTTTATAGGTTTAGATATTTAGTTGCCCATCAATTCAATCAATTAGTCTCGGGTTTTAGTAATTTTTTAAATATGGATATTTAAAAAAAAATCAAAGCTGAATTATCGGATCACCGGTTTAACCAGGGTTCGGCTTGAATTTAAAAATACTGATTTAAATGAAAAATATTTTAAATACATAAATTATTTCAAATTACCAAAATATTTGTTAAGTTATTTATGAAATTTTTCACCATAAAATATTCTGTGCTTGCAAAATTAAGTTTGAATTTGATCTAATCTATAAAATAAAGGTTAAGGCCAAAAATTCGAGAAATTTGTATGTTATATTTAAATTTTTGGATAATTATTAATATCAGAAGTAACTAAACTCTCAACTATATTTTTAACGCAAATAGTTAAATTTGAATGTGATTTTGCACTTCGAACAAACGTAAAATTAATGTTTTCACTGCACTGTTACATCTACATAATACACTACTTGACGTTATTAATACAAATAACTTTTGATATTGTTCTTAAACATAAAATTGAATTGGATAAACTCGAAACTATATAAAACTAAACTATATAGTATATTTCAGAAAAATAAATCCACACGGATGCCCGGGTCATGATCTAGTATTTAAATGAAGCTTTTGACCAACATATAATTAACATTCCGCATCCTATGTTTTGCTAACATGAAAATGTAAAGTTCTTGCTTCATAGATTCTTCCTGTATATAAAAATCATAGTACAAGTAACAATCATGTGATCTCAATGCAAAGTAGCTCTCAGTTCTGTAACTCTTCTTATGTTTGCATTATTAAAAAAAATAAAAAAATCAGTGTATCATCCTCTGATAAATCATAAGATAATGTCGTCTTGAACACTGGCATTGAGAGTCTTATTCTGAAGAACAATGCTTCCTATCATAAGATAATGTCGTCTCAACTATATTTTTAACGCAAATAGTTAAATTTGAATGTGATTTTGCACTTCGAACAAACGTAAAATTAATGTTTTCACTGCACTGTTACATCTACATAATACACTACTTGACGCTATTAATACAAATAACTTTTGATATTGTTCTTAAACATAAAATTGAATTGGATAAACTCGAAACTATATAAAACTAAACTATATAGTATATTTCAGAAAAATAAATCCACACGGATGCCCGGGTCATGATCTAGTATTTAAATGAAGCTTTTGACCAACATATAATTAACATTCCGCATCCTATGTTTTGCTAACATGAAAATGTAAAGTTCTTGCTTCATAGATTCTTCCTGTATATAAAAATCATAGTACAAGTAACAATCATGTGATCTCAATGCAAAGTAGCTCTCAGTTCTGTAACTTTTCTTATGTTTGCATTATTAAAAAAAATAAAAAAATCAGTATATCATCCTCTGATAAATCATAAGATAATGTCGTCTTGAACACTGGCATTGAGAGTCTTATTCTGAAGAACAATGCTTCCTATGACTGCAACTTCATCTTCTACTGTCACAGCCTCCCCTGCATAACACATAAATGTATTAGATAAAAAAAAACAAATCATTTGTTGAGGAAAAAGACAAACAGAAAAGAGAGCTAAAAATGACCAAGAATGGTAATCCCAAGCCTCTCATTGTCATCACCACTAGCTTGAACTCTTGACCATCTACCTATAGAAGATTTCCAACCGATGATCGAGTTTATAACAACAGCATTCTCCTGCATTAGAATATAAAAAAAAACCATGTATCATTATTGTCCATTTGTTAACCATAAGGAACATTACAAACTCTTTTTACATTACCTTGATTTCAACATCGTCCAATATTATGCAGTTTATAAGCCTTACACCAGGTCCAACACGAACGTTTGCTGAGATTGACACGTTTGGACCAATCTTGTTCCAAGGAAAATTCAAGATTTAGTTTACACGACGAGATGCTTCATAAGATTTCATGAGAGTAAAAAGAAAGTTACCTTTGCGGTTGGATGTAGTTTTACGGATGGGTGAATATAAACATCACCAACTATCATCGGTTTCTTATTAGTAGCATCTCCTGAAGCCAAAAGATGAGGAGATGTTTCACGGAATTGAGAAAGATACAAGTCCGAGCATTTCAAAGACTTCCTGTTCATAAAACAAAACTTGTGAGTTGTGAGTAGGAGGAGAGTTTGGTCCAAAACAAACAAATCAAAGTTAATTAATTACGCTGGAGTCTTAATCTGTTCCCAAAAATCCTTATTTTCGTATGTGTATAGTTGCTTCTTTCCAGCAAGTGGTGACAATATATCTTGATCTAGCCTCACAAAATCTGCAGGAACAGACCTTGTAGTTGATTGGAAGTGGCTGTAGTTGCTAGCTGCCAAGTTTAAGTGATTAACAAACCTATATAATTCAAAAAAAAAGCATGTCTCTTGAGATAGGCTAATGATGAAGAACTAACACGTCTCTCTCATTTGGTTGTATACTCCTTCAATGGCTTTGAAGATATCTGAGGTAAACACATAGACACCACAGTTGATCAAGTCACTCACCTGCATCATCAGTGAAACCTCTATAAGCTTAGCAAAGTCCATATATACCAGTGAGGGAAATAAGAAAAAAACAGGAAACTTCAAGGAGAGAGTTACGAAAGTCTCTGGTTTCTCTGTATAATGCAAGAGTTCTTTAGTATCAGGATCAGATATCAACTCTCCAAATTGGCTTGCTGCTTCTGCAGAAACCTGAAAGCAAGAAGAGGTGATTCATAAACCCTTTATCTTTTTTTTTTTTTAATTTGTTTTTCTTGAACAAAGTGAAAGAAACCGAACCTTGATTACTAGCATAGTTCCAATTCCACCATATCGACGATGTGCGTCTACCAAATATTGTTTTAAAGTTAGGAAAATGAAAATAAAAATGATAGAAGAAGAAGCAAGAACTAAAAAAGAAAAGAGAGATTACCGAGAATGTCTTGGAGAGGGAAAGAACAGCAAACATCACAGTTTAGGAGGAAAACATGTGACTGTTTCAAAAAATGACAACCAAAAGAAATAGAACCTGAATCAAGAATAGATATGAGGGAAGCAAGAAGAAAAATTCATTAGAGATCATATACTGGTTTTTCTTCCATGATTCTATCGCGAAAGTGAAAAAGAGCACCAGCAGAACCATGAGGCTTATCTTCTTTCAAGTATCTACATACATTACATGAGAAGATTTATAAACATTGGACCAAACCAAACCAACAAAAGAGTCACACAACTTGTGTAACACAAGTGCAATGAACTTACCGAACTGGGATTTTGAGCTCGTTAGAAATGGAAGAAACATACAACGCGAACTCTCTTTCCTCGTAAAACCCAATCAGAAAAATCTGAGCCAGGTTTGGTATCTGCCCTCCAAACACATAACCATTACAAAACATACAGAAAAATCTGAGCCAGGTTTGGTATCTGCCCTCCAAACACACATAACCATTACAAAACATACAGAAAAAAAGCAAACACCTTTTTGCAAGCAGAAATAGGATGATGGATCATTGGCTGCCCAGCCAAAGGAATCAGCGGCTTGGGCGTTTTGAACGATAATGGGCGAAAACGAGTTCCTAAATCGATCAGCATTCAACAAAACAATCAGTTTCGTTGGGAAACGAGAAGTTGAGATCCAAAAAAAAAAAAGAATCGATGTTGTTCACCTTTGGTCGGTCCGCCGACCATGATCACGGCGACGATTTTCTCTTCCGACATCTTGACGATCTGGGTTTTGTGTAAGTAGAAACAGACAAATTGACTTGGAAGGTCAAACTTAAGAGCACGTTTGTTTCTTCTCTGTCCTTTTTATGACAAACCTGAAGTCTGAGCGTGACTTGAAAAAAAGAGGAAAAAATATCTATAATATTATTTGAGAAGTCAGTATCCTATGTGTCGCGTTCACGTTAACTCTCGCGATGGTTGATTACATAGATATCCTTAATGAATTGTTAGATTTTAATTTTATTATTAATTTTTTATTTAGTTTCATTTTTACTTTTTCTAAATAACATATATAATAAAAAAAAATATTTCTAAAATTTTAAAACAGATTTAAAAACGAAAATATATGTATATAATATGACTTTATTAAAAAAGAAAGTTCACAAAATAGTAATATACCCCAGTAATATATATTTTTAAATAACATATAATATATTTTCAAAATAATAAAAATATATATGTTCATGAACATCCAAATTTTATCAGTTACATTTTATTTTCTAATATTTTTAGAAATCAACATATAATTTGATAAATATTATGAAAATATTTGTATATTTAAGCGATAAATAAAACTAATTTAATTGACTTAACTAAAATAAAGAATACATAAATATTATGAAAATACATTTATATTTAAGCGATAAATATAACTAATTTGATTGGACTTAACTAAAATAAAAAATAATTATACTTCAATTTTACTCAATATACTCACAACATGAATGACTCAACTAATCTAATTTATATCCAAAATTAAACATCTAACTACAATAAGAACATATAATTTTATAGTAGTAATAATTTATTTAATTTTATATATATAAATTAGAGGTTGACTCAAAGCATATTAAAAATAAAAGGAAAATATTAACCATTTACAATTTATTCTTTTGTAGAATTTATATATATGCATGAGACTTCAAAATATTATCATTATATTCATTTATGTAATTTTGAATCAAACACTTCAGCTTCTTCTATATATATATATATATATATATATATATATATATATATATATATATATATATATATATATATATATATATTAAGTTATATATAATTTAACTATAATATATTTACATATATCTAAGAATATATTTACATATCTAAGATAATAACCAACCGAAATGAAAATAAGAAAATTAATCAAAGTTTTATTATATGTACAAGAAAAAATATTATAATTGAATTCCAAAAATAAATATTATCCAATATACCTATTGATAACCAAACCGACTATTGATCCAAAAAATAATTAAACCGACAATAATATATCCAAAGTCATATGTATAATTAGAATAATATAATATTTATTAATATAAATTATACATATAAATTGATAAAAAACTAAAACTAAATATCAATCAATTATTATAAAATTTTACTTTTATAAATATTTATACCCGTGCATGAGCACGGGAAAATCACCTAGTTATTAGAATAATATAGAAAAATTGTTATATGAAACAAAATAAAATGAATATTTCAAAACTTACTAAAATGTTTGTAAATTTCTAATAAATTACAATAAACATCCTCAGTTAGAACTTTAATTAAATTTTTAATAATAAAAAATGATTAAAGTTATATTACCATTAACTATAATCCATGTCATTAATAACAATCCACATCATCCATAATTATGATTAAAATATTGCAAAGACAATAAAACGATGCTTAACTTAAAATTTGCTTCACAGTAATAAAATCCGTTGTTGTTTTCATCAAAAATCTTCTACAAAATCGTTTACTCTGAAATAGTTTTTTCCGAAATCGTTTTCTCTGAAAGCATCGTCTCCAAAATTGTCTTCTATTGTTTCAACGTTTTACTTTGAGTTTTTCGAGTTTGTGGTTGAGTTAAGAGTTATTCTATATTTGATAACTGAATTATGATAATATTTGATGAATGAGCTATGAGTAATTTGATGGCTGAGTTATAACTTGTTATTGTAGGTGTGTGCGAAGAAAATGATTATGAAGGAGGATATAGAAAAGTTGTTTCCTCAGTGATCGGATGAAGCAAATGATCCACAATTTGTTAACTTGATAAAATACATACATGCAGATACCCACATTTCACAAAACATCTAATCTCCAAAAACAAGCTATAAACATTTTACGTTTCTACGAGAAAGTAAATACATTCCAAAAAACACCCAAGTTAATGATTGTGAGATGTATTCATTGAAGCTTGTCGAGTGTATGATGGACAATGCTTACTTAGTTGGAAAAAACGATATTCTTAATGGTGGGTTATGATGAACATTGGTTATTTGATGAAGGGCCACATGACAAGAAGAAGAGACAATTGAGGTATGTCTCTCACTCTTTTTCAGATTTTGTATTGTTTGTGATTTGATACCCAGATTTGAATAATCCAAATATTTTTCTTAGATCTGAATGACATAGAAACTTGCATGAGAAGACAATGCATGAGACAGAGAGACGTGATGGATTCAACAGAGACGATGCAAAGGAGTTCAATGAAGCTTTGAGTCATGGAGGAGTTATAAGCGGAGTGGTGTAGCAAACATGTATCTTGTGTTTTCTCTATAAGAAACATACCTCAGCTGTGCATTTTTTATTTAACTTATGCTATCTTTACACAATTCAGCTGTGTCGTTTATATAATTCAGTCATGTCTCAAACCTACTCTAAAATTAGAAATTTTTATATAACTCAGCCGTGTCATTTAGATAACTCAAACGTGTCATTTATATAACTAAGACATACCTCAAACATACCCTAAAATCAGAAAATGGCACTGAAGTACTTTAAAAAGTTATATTGAAGCTCCTCTTATAAATATCAAGTAAATAAATCAACTGAATGTATATACTTTCTTGAATTTTCAAGTTGAGACTGTAACTTGATCTTGAGATATATGTTCTCTTACAATTACTTACTTACAAGACTCTTATTTTAATCTTTTTTTAAATATAAACCTCAAACTCTAAATTATAGAACTATAAATTTATAAAATTTATAAAGTTAATCTTTTGAACATTAATCTAATATTTTTTATTGTTTAAAGTTTAAGATTTATGTTTAGGTTTAGAGTTTAGGTCTATAGCTTAGAGTTAAACTCAAATTGTAATCATTTTTAAAAATTTAATCTCAAATCCTTAAATACCATTTTAAAGCTTGATTTAAACTCTTAATTACATTTTTTAAATTTAGGAAATTTCTAAAACAATTAAACAAAAATTAAAATTATAATTTATATTGATTTTTTCATGACCATTGATCGATTTTAGTCTAAGGGTTTAAAATTATCTTTTTGTCTATCATCATCCTGCTTTATCATTGGTTAATCTTTCTTTTTCAAAGATAACAATTTGTGAACATTGACTAAATGCATCTAAAGGCTACAAATTATTCGCTCGTTTTATTTACAATTGATGGGACTTAGCCTCTCCATCTCTCTCTCTTTAAATCTTCCATCTTCTATAAGACACAACGAAACTGATGAAAGAGGGAGCAGCAAGATGTAGAATCACCACAAATGACACTGGAGGAAAGGAAACTTCTTCTCTAACTGACCACCACCAAAGACGAAGACGACTATAGTATAAGTGTCTCAGGTTTTTGTTTTTTTATTTATTTATGTTGTTTATGTGACTGATATGAGTCTTTATATTAACCCTTTCACCAAAAGCTTCCAACACCATGGCAGGAATTAACACTGTCCAAAATTATACACTTAGTTCAGTTATTCTTTGAAAGAACAAGATAAAACCAACTGCATATATCAGGCCAAAAAATTTAATCAAATACAAAGGGTTTTACCTGTCAACTGTTCCATTTGAAGAATATCAAAGTTTTTGTCTTTGGTTGGCGCGGATCTGAACCAATTGGATACCTCAACTTAGGCAGTTTTATTATGGTAGGGTATGATTCTCCCATCGTTTTCCCTATCATGCGTAAAATATTTTTGTTTTCTTTTAATATCAGATATTCTGGAAGACTTTCCTAAATATTTACAAACTCTTCCTAAAATCATGACTTTCCAAAAGTATCTGGAAAGTTTCCTAGAAATATTGTAAATTCTTCTTAAAATCGACAAACAAACTATTTTCAGAGCAATATGTGATCCTGTTAAAACAAGAACTTTTCTTTACTAACAATTCAAATTACAACCACCAATTAAACATGATTAAGTTATAGAATAACTTCGAGATGAATCCTACAACATCTACTACTACTTAGAAGATCAATAAACACATGATTCATTTATTTTTTATACAGACACTAGTCATTTACTAACTTCCTGATATGTCACATGTGTAACCAGATAAACATATTGATAAATTAGATGATACTAAATCAAACTTAAACCACGAAATGATTAGAACAAAGCACAAATCAAATCAAAATTCAACTTCAAGAAGAAAAGTTGATTACCTTAGATATTTACGTTTCAAAGTGAAGAAATAATTGCTTAAGAGACAGACAAATTAATTATTTTATTTACTCAGTCATACAACAAAACAAATTTTTTAGTTCTCAAATAAATATAAAACGCAAGATATTATCATAACAGAAGTCCCATTTTTGAATCTCAAAGCCCTAGACTTTGGAATCATACTGAGATGGCGTCGTTGGAGAATCAAAGTTGTATGTTATTCACCGGAGATGGTGACAAAGTTGTTTGCTGGAGATGATAATAGTGTTGTCCGCCGGAGACGTCATCAACTTTATCTCTCTTTTGTTCTGATTTCAACGACGCCAGGAGAGAGAGATAAAGTCCCAAATTTGTTTTCTGTCCTTTACGCCGGAGATGATGATTCGCCAGAGACATCTTTGTCAGAGACCTCTGTTCCAGAAATGATAACGAATCAACCTCGTCTGACTTTGACGGCGTCAAGAGAGATAAGTCCCCAATTTTTTTCTGCTGTTTTTTTTTGTTTAATATTAAGCAAGGATATTAATCTTTTGGTATATTAATGAATTTTATATTTATGATTTTCAGTTTGGAATGATAATTTTGTGATGAAAACTTCAAAAAAACTATTGCATAGAATTGCCCTTAAATATTTTTTTTTTAAAATTAATATTTATTT